CAATTGAATCCAGCCCTACCCATTTCAACCCAATCTAATCTAATTAATTCAATTCATTTTCAGCTCAAATCAAACCTATTCAATCAAAATCAAAACCTCCCTCCCTAAGACTCCTCAACTTTGTTTACAGTGTAATTATTAACAATCTCTTGAAGGAAACTCCTCGTTTGCTGGACGCTAAGATGTGATTATAGAAAGGTGTTCAAAGGGTTCATTAGGAACGTTATGAACGTCGACGCCACGTGCTTCTGAACAAACTGCAGCTACAAATCTCCTCAGATATTTGATCGAATTAGACTGACTGAAAGCTTCCATTTAGGTTTTATCATCCTGTGTATTTACTAAATGGAGAACTGCAGACGTTAAGTGTAATTTTATTACGGGATGGAAAATGCACAAAGTGAATGGCAGGAGAAATTCGTTTGCAACAGGTTTTAATGAGGTTCTTAAGTTATTAAATCAGTCTCATTCTGTTTATTTTTGAATTTAAAAGGCTATTTTAACCTTTTAATGGTTTACTTACGTTTATACGTTAATATTTTCTTGAATAAGTTAAATTTAAAGATTTATAAGAGTGGACAGTAATTGCTCAGTTGTAATTGTTTAATTGAATTTCGACCGATGCTTATTTGCACATACTGAATAGGATAAGGTGTACTGCGGGTTTATTAATTACAATTGTACATATCCGTCATTTATATTAATATAAAACATTTTCTGATTGAGGTTTTATATATTTCTTTTTTAAATTATTGAACCATGGCTTATTCAATTTTGTTAAAATTGGTTGGTAATTAGTTTGACTTTGTTACAAAGGCCCTTCAATTTCTTTTAGATTACTACGTATTTTTTGTTCTTTGGGGATTTATGCCGTAACGTAATACAGCTATCAAAAGAATTTGTATTGAAAAAGACTAAATATTTTTGATATTTTCCCACAAAAAATGTATGAGCCCTTTTCGATTTGCTATTTCAAAAACTCTATTGTTTAAAAATCGGGTAAAACCAGGATTACAAAAAACTATCAAAATGATTTAAACTGGTGGCATCCATCGTGTAACAAATATTTTTTATCGTCTCAATACGTCTGGGAGAGGACGATTGAGAATATAGGAATTGGAAGTAAAATGAAGAAAACAACTGAATGATTGACAAGCAATTGTTGCGACAAGTGCTGCTACTGGCGGCTTAAACAACAACTGCCATATTGCCGGGTGTCATATCCTGATAATCTTGAATTGTCGAACATTCGAACAATGTTAGATAACGTTCAAATCGAAACTGTCAGCAACACTAAATGTAAAAACAACTCCATCTCAATGGTCTATGATTCAAAATGAGTTTTGTTCTTAATATGGTAAACTCTCATTAATCCAATCTACAGTAAAAAATGTTGTAAATTTGGATAATTGAGAGTCCGGGTAAAAAAATCCATAGTAGGCCTAAAATAAAATGCCTTGTTCAATCTTTAATTACCAATTATTTGAGATGGGAGCGCCATCTAGGTGTGATTTTAACCCAAATATGAATGAATGATGAGTTGTAGAATGGTGTGAGACGATCTGTGTAGGAAGTGGTGTATCCGGGGGGGGGGATTAGGGGGTTTGACACCCCCTTGACCCTGTTTGTTATATTAAAAATTGTTGTTCCACAATTTAAAAATCTCTTTGATATGTATCAAAATAGCATTAAAAACACGAGTTAACAGGTCTAATTTTTACACATTGTTATGTTGCACCCGGACCCCCCCTCAGACTTCCCATTGTAACCCCTCATTAGAGTCATCCTAGTTACGCCTTTGTGAGAAGCTTTGTCACTGACTAAGATCAGCTGTTTCATCAGTCAGTATCATTTATTTAAAGCCCAATGATCAAAGTCAGCTGGGCAAAGTTTCGAACCATCAAAAAGCTACTGAATTTTCTCTATGTCGAACCGGCACTATTGTTATTGTTAGACGAGCACTATAACCACTCAGCTACCCAGCCAGTTTACCTTCTATATGAACATAAAATATTGAATTAATTCCAAATCACACACAGTAATTACATGCTATATACTATCCGCAACTGAGTGGTTTGCCGAATTGCTGCCTGGATTAAGCAAAGCCGTTTAGCGTATATTAATAGGTATATTATTAGATATTGAAAAAGTAATAAATACGAAATTTTTTAAAGACAGCATGACCTAGTCTAACTCAAAATGACTTAAAACAGCAAATAAACTAAGAACATAAGCTTAAACAAATAATGTAAAGAATTACCATTGCTTTACTTAATAGATCAACCAATATATGTATCAAATAAATAGTAAACTCTTGCCTTAGCAATCCTTATTATGGTTGTCCGATATTAATTTCAAACCCGTAGGTTCATCTTCAGTCGGAAGTTTAGGTAGACCAAATGCTTATTATAAAATCCACCCGATGGGTTTCGTAGAAATGTTGACATTTAACACGAACACGACACACATTACAATTGACATAAATAATATTCGGAGTTTAGGGATCAAAACCATGGTTTTATAAAACAGTGGGATAACCTCACTTCTGTTAGGGAACACGCTGCCGGCAGAACTGTCAAAATATAGTCAGGACAGGATTGTAGGTTGAGGTTATGTTGACATTTTTTGACTACGGAATGAAAAAAAAACATATGATGGATGTATTTGGATTGATGCGGCTAGGTGTCTGATTGATTATTTGTTTTCAGAAGTGAATCAAAAATTATGTTTACTGAGAAATTACGTTGGTCATTGAGGACTTCAGACGGGTTGGATTTAGTATTGCTGTATATATGGAATAGTTCGATTATGCCCAGCTTCATGCTTTTCCAACGTAAGTAATACCCTCAACGTAATTTCCAACTTAATTTCTCAGCAAACATAATTTTTGATACACTTCTGAAAACAAATAATCAATCAGACACCTAGCCGCATCAATCCAAATACATCCATCATATGTTTTTTTTTCATTCCGTAGTCAAAAAATGTCAACATAACCTCAACCTACAATCCTGTCCTGACTATATTTTGACAGTTCTGCCGGCAGCGTGTTCCCTGACAGAAGTGAGGTTATCCCACTGTTTTATAAAACCATGGTTTTGATCCCTAAACTCCGAATATTATTTATGTCAATTGTAATGTGTGTCGTGTTCGTGTTAAATGTCAACATTTCTACGAAACCCATCGGGTGGATTTTATAATAAGCATTTGGTCTACCTAAACTTCCGACTGAAGATGAACATACGGGTTTGAAATTAATATCGGACAACCATAATAAGGATTGCTAAGGTAAGAGTTTACTATTTATTTGATTATATAAGCTATCCAGAGGCTGAAATGATAGACAATATATGTAACTCTATAATATTAAAGATATATTTTTTCAAACTTTCCCTCAATTACATCTTATATAGAGTGTTAAAAAGTGCAGAAATGTTTTAGCAAACACCCAATTAAGATAAACAAACCATTTATTTCAATCTTTAGGAGTTCAAGTAAATTTTATCGTTGTGAAATCTAACGTTCAGGAAATGTTAAGGATTAATTAATTATACCAACTCTATGTATTTATCATTCTGGTTCTACACTGGCCAAAGTTGTATCACATCGGATAATTAATTAATGGCTAGTTTGCGAAGTATTCTCCTACTATTTCGACAGGGTTCAGTTCAGTAAAAAAAGGACAAAAATGTTTAGTAATTTAAAGAAGCTCTACTAACAAAGGTTTTTCTTCCACCTAACTTCTATACAAAGTTGTGTATTTAAAAACATGATCGGTTGATGAGTATTAAATACATTTATCAAATTACATGAACTCTTTCTAAGATGCTAGGAGCTTAGATAAGATCCATTAGTGATTAAGAGGGAACTGATCCTGGAACCTCAGGGACCGAAGTCTCGTGCCTTACCATCAGACGAACTCTAGACAAAAAGATTCTTCAAGCTTCGGTCACCCGTAGTAAATCCAACCACAAAGTAGCTGTCCAGGTCTACTTTGCAACGTTAACAAAATATCTAAGAATGTTTTGATCTACATTATGTTCATAAATAAATCCAAGTGAATCCAACAACCAAATGTTGGAACCAAAAGTGCAAGCATTGTTTGAGAACGCTCAATCTACAGCGACGAAGCTATGAGCCCTAGTTAATCCAACCACCAGTAACTGTTTAGGTTTAGTTTACAGCGTTAACAAAATACTGTACATAAGAATTATTAATCTACGATACCTTCATCCATGAATACGAGTAAATCCAATAACCTCATATCGGAACCGGTTTAAAAAGTTACATTGTTTGAGAACACTTGATCAACGTGGTTAGTTCATCCACGAAGCTATGAACCTAGTAAATCCAAGTTGCTATTGAATCCTATACGAGCAATGTTTGCTTGTACTTATGTTGTATGCTTGCTTGCACAAAGATATCGAAAACTGCTTCAATTATTTCCTTCAAATGTTGTAATTAATTTATTTCTGGCCTAAAACCGTATTTTAATGCAGTTAAAAATGCCAACAAAAATTTAATTACGTAAAAAAATCAATTGAAACTCATTTTTTTTACATTGGCTCCTTTGTTTTGCCGAGTAACCATGTTGGTTGAAAAAATAACTAGGGACTATTGCAAAATGCAGTACAAATGGAAAAGCATCAGTTGTTACTATTGATCAAAGATTACACTGGAGATTACTCGATATAGGGGTAAAATGGAAATAAACTACACCGGGTCATAGCTCGGTCCCCAGGTACTATAGTTTGAAACGTTCAAGGGCTGTTTAGGAATTCCATAACATCCTAAAGCGCTATTAAGCAAGCTTGTAATTTCGCCCATAATCCTAAGTGGTTGGACACCGGTCATCCCGGCTCGTGGGCGGACCACTCTATGTCCAGGAGCACCTCAGCACCTCTGCCCACCGTATAATCTGCCGTGGCGGATCGTAGCGAAAGCCGCTGTCGTGCCACTGACCTCTATCTTTACACATCTGTCCTGTCAGTCTCCGTCACCATGGCCGGTCTGCTGCTGTTCGCGATTTGTGCGTCGCTGCTGTCCAGTGCTGTCCTGGCCCAGGTAATACGTCATAGATGTACGTCAATATGTTGTTGACGTCATCGCTGTTAGGTATTAGAATAGTGCCAGAGATATCGTGTCAGTATTAGTTTGCTAACCTAAAATTTGAGGTTAGGTTTTTTTGTTGATGGAAATCGTCATGGTTCTTAGCCATTTACGGTGATAAAAGTTTAAATTTTGGATAGTGAATAACAGTTAATTTTTTGATAGTAACCAATTAAAGATAGATTGGAACGAATCTTGCATAGTTATATTAATTGCAATTATATCTAGGAATAACACTTTTTTACTTACTTCTTCGGTGGCTATCGATATATACTCTTCATGTAACATTGATATAGTTGTTGTTAATGCTCTTGTATTGCCTCAGTATGCACGATTTTGCTTTACAAGCAAAAAAGTGAGGTTTAGATCCGTTGTTACTAGTAGACCATTTTTGTAACTAGATGGGGTCATTTAAATAAGAACGAATCATACACAGTTCGTAGTTAATTCAATGCTGTAGGTAATAATTCTGTTCATATGAGTCATTTGATACATATACACCATAGATTTTATGATAAATAAGACATTTTAACCATCTGTTTCATTGTCTTACTAATCGAGTAATGCATGTATATTGAAGTAGTTTCTGTTATAACAAAACAGAAACTTCGACTTTGATATAGCATTTAACTAATATTTATGATGGAAAAGAATTCTACTCTTTAAACGAGTTGAAAGAGGATACTTCCACTCTCTAACCTAAAGAAGTATTCTTCTCCCTTGGAGCAAGAAATTTGCCTACATTAACTTAGATTAATTAGACTAACTAAATAGACTAATTGCCGTTTAGAGCAAGATCTTATATTAATTCAATATGTCTAAGATGTTATATGAATTTATGCTGGAGAATACACTAACCTTGTTTTAGCATTTAAAGATAGTTATTGATTACTTGTTAGTGTTAAAGTACAAACAACATTTTTTTTATCCTTCTTGGTCTTGGTAAAAGTTTTTATAGCATACTCCAGTACCAAGTTATGGTTAAGTTAGATCCGAACAAAACAGTTTTTTATTTATTGATCAGTTTTACTAAAAAAAAAACACCCCACATGGGCTGTGTTGTAAATATAAATCTAATTAGTTAAGCAATATAAAGGAAACTCACATTTTTTACAACTAGTTTTGGCTTGTATCATTTAAGTTCTATTGGAATTTCAATTTATTATGAATACAGCTGTCCAAATTATGTAAGCTATAAAAAAGTGTGCATAAAAATTTTAAAATCTACCCTTAAAAAGGGTGAAACATTGAGTTTAAGCCAGTGCACTCAAATGGCACCAACACGAAACACTCATCACTCATCAACACTGACTTGCTCTATTTCCCGCTATATCGAGTAATCTTCAGTGTAATATTTGCTCAATAGTTACAACTAATGTTAATCACGGTGTACTGTATTTTATAATTTGCTAGTATACTGTGGATGGCTTGTTATAAACACATGTTAAAAGTCTTTTGATTACTTTTTACTTGTTATTTTGTACAATCATCATAGTTACTTGACAACCCATAAGGTCAATGTTAAATTTTGAAATTATTTGTGTGGCGAAATACGAATTTTCCTGAGATAGTGGTTTTTGCCAATCACGTTTTTAAGGCTTTATGTCCCTAATTCCAAAATTTACTCATAATTCTTCCGCTGGATTTTGAGATGTATATTACAGACAGACAAACATACAGTAGACAGACAGACAAACAGACTTTGCTCGTATTAGAGTACAGGATTGAAGGATATTGCACGGCTTTCATTTAAGCCATAAATAGCTAAATATTTTATATTTTGTAAGACAACATTTGACTACCGAATCATCATGCGTAGTCTCGTCACCTCAGCTGTCACATCTCCACTGTTATCATGATTGAGACGTCATTGTTAGGGTCAAGGTCATCTTAGTTGCATTAGCCACTGTTTACTACATATATGATATCTGTCTTTGTCGATCCTGGTTGTTTTATTTATATTAACACCTCATACAAAACCTTGAACGATTGGTTTAAAATACATGCAGGATGAGATTCTAGTTGTTGAAAGGGTGTAAATAACATAATGATATAGTTTTGATGAATAACGTATTGGTCAGGATTTAATAATTATTTGGGTTTAATACACACTTTTTTGGTGTATCTCAATTTGATAATGATAATAATAATAGTAATGATAGTTTTAAAATTCTTACTAGACATAAATATCCCCCTATAATCGTATACTAAAACCAATTCTAAGCTTTATACCAGAATATATATAAGGTTACATTACCTTGATCGCCAAGTGATCCATGTAAGTCCAAAAAATAGGATTACGCGCGTTTCGACGTCAAAGCGTCATTGTCAAATCGTACAAAAACTTTCTAAACCATATGGTCACGTCACGGTCTTTCCGACAGACACAAAAACACATTACTGGTACAAAAAATACATTTAAAAGTAGGCCTACTAACTAATTCGTGGTGAACGCGACAGATCTGCTCGAATGCCGAGACTCGACTCAAGTCAAGGCGATCAAGGTAATGTAACCTTATATATATTTTATTATCAGTGATTCAGAAAAACAACATACATCATGAAGTTTATACCAGAAATACTTTTAAATAATTCATACAATTTGGAATGAGTGGACGATCATTAGAGAACACAAAACAATACTAGTTTTTTTGTTTTCCAAAACCTTAAAATGCATTTTCTAAGGTAATATTATAATTGATTGCAGGACCTGGACGGAGTGCACCACTTCATCGATGACCCAGACATCCTGGAGGGTGACGGCCAAGGTCCTGATGTCCTCGGTCCTCCAGACAATGACGTGGAGAGGGCGTCCTTTGTCCAGTGGATCCTGGCGCTCCTGGGGTACCAGCCCTCCAAACCTCCCTCGCAACCGCTGCCGCAGCCAATAGATCCCGCAAAATGCACGCCTTGCAGTAAGTCTTAGAAATTGACCACAACTACAACAATGGCTTGGCACTTGAATAGATAAATATAGCCTCTCCAGTATGTTTAATCCACAGCACCATTAGCCTCCACACATATATTGTCCATTGGTACTATTGGTCCCTACATTTTGTAGTTGGTCTTTTAGTTGGTCATCTGCCTTCAACTGGACTATTTCCAAAGTTTGACTATATTATTTAGTAGCCACCAGCACAGAGAAGGAATCCCGCACTATAACTACTGTAGATCTTTGGATAGGTTTCAAATTACATAATTGTGTTTCAGTGCAGTAAGTCTTTGCATCTGTGGCCTTGGTAATACAAACCCAAGTTCTTATTACAGCCATGGAGACCAATCAATATTTACTTTTAAAATCCTCACCTCGAACTTTTAATGCCAAAGGGGCAAAGCCCACGGTCTGTATCGAAGTGTGAATAGTCCAATGACCATCCTTGGTATGGTAGCTATATTTTTGTAAAATTTAAAAGCCCAGTCACTTCAGTAGTTTTTACGTTAATTAGTAATACACGTACCGACAGACACCATCAGATTTTTATATAATAGTATAGATTTCACAACTGACTATTAATAGACTACATCACAATAAGTTGGTGCAAAACAATTTACACAGATAACATATTTCGTGAGAAGGTGACGTATTCTTTATGAAAAACGTTTCTAAGAATTTCGTATTTCTCAGTAATAATTTGGAATTAACCACTTTTTCGTACAATCACCACTTCTCAAGAACTGTTCTGAAAGCTTTTGGAATTTCCTGTTGTTTGAGACCGAGAAAGTTGTAGAACTTGATTATACCGGATTTCGATTATTGAGATAGGATAGAAATCCTGCATATGTTAATTGAGCTAAGCACGATTCTATAATTTATCCAGGTAAAAGAGTGTTCAAATGACTTTTAAAAAGAAACTTTTAACTCCATATCTAAACTTCGTCATATTTATATTCTAAGCCAAACAAGTTTTTGAAGTCGGATGTTGGATTATTCAAAATTATTATAGAAAATCAAAAGTCAGAATTCATTAGATTAAATTTAATTACTGGTGAGCTTTCCATCTCTTTTGAGTAGTTGAAGACTATTTTAATGTATGTTAAATCCATTTCGTCCGGTTAAACTTATTTGTATTGATGTATTAACTTTTTATAGTGGTTTCCTTACATTGAAATGTTCAAATAGAAATCAAATGATTTGTTGCAAACTACTGGACGCCCCCTGGTATCATTACAAAGAGATACGCTGTAATAATATTGTAAAAGTTACACTACAGTTACACACCTTGAGAGAATTCAGGACCCTTTTAGTCTACAATAGTCCACTTTTAGCAGTACCAGATGAAACAGACCTACATTGAAAATAAATAAATGTACTATTATGATTTTAAAATGAAATAAAATGACTTAAGGTAAAGGTATCGTCTTGGTGATCCAAACTTTGGTAATCAACACAGCACAATCATAATAAAAAATACTTGAGTAATTTTGACTTATAGCTAGAAGCATACCACTTAAATCCTGAAAATAATAAAGCTCGAAAGTGAATTCAGGTTTCGTTGACCACTTGAGCTGTTGAGCATTCCTTAAAAGTAGATTAAGCACATAGCTCTACCACTAGATCAGCTCGCTCCCCAGGTTAGGTTAGGGTAGGATGTTACTTAAACGTACAAGTACCCTACAGATTACTTCGTCAATAAATAACTACATGCTTAGGTTAGGTTAGGTTAGATCATATCATGTTAGGTTAAGTTAGGTTTGGTTAGATTAGGGTAGGTTAGGGTAGTTTAAGCTAGATTTGGTTAGAATAGGCTAGGTAAGGTTTGTTTAAGTTAGATTTGGTTAGATAAGGTCAGGCTAGGTTAGTTTTTAGCTAGGTTTGGTTAGATTAGACTATGTTAGGTTAGTTTAAGATAGGTTTGGTTGGATTAGGCCAGGTTAGGTTTGTTTAAGCTAGGTTTGGTTGGATTATTCCAGGTTAGGTTAGTTTAAGCTAGGTTTTGTTAGATTAGGCTAAGTTAGGTTATGCTACACGTAATCTTTCAAACTAAACTCTCACTCAACATACTCAAAATCTTTCACATACGAATCACTGTCCTCATAATATCTGTTTTTTAAACTTATACCTTTGTTCCAGAATGCGGGTTAACCAACAAACAGACGAGGATTGTCGGGGGTCACGTGACCTATGTTAACCAATACCCGTGGATGGCGCTGCTGATGTACAGAGGGAGGTTTTACTGTGGTGCGACCCTTCTCAACTCCAAGTATGTCTTGACAGCGTCTCACTGTGTCCATGGGTGAGTACACTTGTTAAAGGATAGTTAATGTAACCTACGTAAGCCTCATCTAGCCACCTCTAATTCAAGAGCCAAAGTTATTTAACGCAGACCAAAATACAAGTACAGTACTGTGAGACACTATTAAACTACAAAAAAAACTTGTAGTATCCCTGTTTTTTTTTTTTACTTTATTGACGATCAGCTGATAAACATTGTTGCTTTGTTTTCTACAGTATGAGGTTTAGTGTTATCGGGAATTTATTTACAATACAAGACTCAATAGGATGTTTCCGTAGGCTCAAAAAGAGTATGCATACGTTTTTTTCTATCAGATTTCCTTAAATGTTAGACAAGTCTATAAATATTTTATGTATTAGGTACCGGGATCACACCTTTAAATATAGTTTCATTCCTTTCTCGGCATAAAAAACTATTATTTACTTTTAACGTATTCATCTACACTAGTATATGAGCTTGTTTTACCATTGAAGTGTCTCATGGTACTTGTCATTTGAGTTACGTTTAAAAAACACTCTGTAGAGTAGGTAATTTGTATGTAACTGTGAATAGACCATGAAGGTAACAGTCCGGAACTATATAGGTATATATTATAACATAGTATCATAGTTTCGGATGAGTTGTAAACATATTCCAAAGTCCGGGCTGTAAAGGCAACTGAATCATAAATTTACCGATAGCCTTCCAAACTTATATACTGCCCGTAAACCTACCAAACTTTAATATTGACCATCTGGTATAACTGAACATGGGTCATATTCATGGGTTTTGTTCATAAACTAGGATCTCGTAAATACAATTTATGACTCTTCGTGTATTCCAGAAACACGTTTTATTGTTTTGTAACCTTTTCACGTGTCTACACGTTTTATTTATTTAATTTTTAATCAAATACGAAACTCAAACAAAGGGTCTTTTTAAAGTCAGGTTGTACATAAACAGTGATTGATAAATGTAAATATTGTGGATGTGGAAGGAATATGTAATTTAGTTAATACGTTGTTGTATTAATAGTCAAAGTTAATACTTAATATTTTTTCGAGCGGATGTGAATATATTTTCTTGTAATGCTATGGTGTATTTCTCCAAACTAAAATAAAACCTGGTACACTTTTTAAATTCACTTAATCAATAATGTACCAATAATGGTACTAAACTATTAAATAGAAACTCTTAAAAAATTCCACTGGTGAAAAAATACAAAATAAAGTATGCATAAAAACCATTATCGTATGGATAGCAGAGTCGATATTGTACTCACCTTCAAATAAGGAGTTATCTGGTTGGACTAAAGTTGTGTAAATTCTTTACATAGAATAGCTATTGATTGATGGGATTTTCTAACAAAATGTATCCCATATTTACAAGATCAGTATTTGACCTGTTTCCTTAGAAAATACTTTAAAAAACATTAGTAAAGTATAGTCCTACACGTCAACAAATCATAATGTTTCAGCCCGAGCAAAGAATTACGTCTGGTTTTACAATTAACGTACGTTTTATTGATCATATTTTAGTTTTTAGTAAATATCCAAATACACGAGTGTTTTAAAATGAATATCAGGGATTTTTAACCTTTATTACATTTACCCACGACCGTTTTCTTAAAGCAGCCGTTTCAGTTCAGTTCTTAGAATTGAAACGTTTCACATTACAGCATTGTTTACTTTCATAACAGCATAATATTACTCATAACAACACAGGTAACGGACCAATGAGGTTCAAGGATTGAGAGGGACAAAGTGAAATTGTAATGATCGAACTTCAAATAATCAGCTGTTCTGGCCAATTTAATTGTTGAGTGGTGCAATTAGTGTTTGGTACAATTTTTCGTTGCATCACTGTCAGTGACGACGATAGGTTATAAACGAAAACATAACCTCTCTTAGAAGTTATGAGTTGTGACTTTTAGTAATTAAAACACTCTCGTAGGTAAAGTAGTGTACGCGACGCAACTCGCTTAAATGGTGTTAACGACACTCGTAGACGTTTTTAAGGCACTCGCCAAGGCTCGTAGCCTCGTACCATAAATTTTTTACTCATCATGTCGTTAACATTATATTTACGCAATCGTCGCGCAAACTACCATAAACTAACCGCTATAAATGACACATCGAATGAAGAAGCAACTCAAAGTTTTACATAAAAGCCTACAAGTGTTCAATGTGAGCACCGTTCGTCACACAGCACACTTCAAGTCTCAAGAGGATACTTAACTATGTATATTTGTTGTCTACGTTGAGCACAGGGGTTTCACATTTTTGTAAAGCAACTTTTGGTTACCTTTATTGATTTTCAAGAAATGCATAATAGTAATATGTAGGAAATGTTATTCTCTTTCAAAATATTGCCTTCCACTTAGTTTCCTCACGATTTGAAACTTATTTGCAAAAGGGTTAAGCAACCTCCGAATTTATAGGCCTAGTAGTAAAACAAGTTTAGTTTAATAAAAGTAATAAAAGTTATAAAGCGTTAAACCCCTAATATTCATTTTTCACACCTGGTAGGCCTATATAAAATATGTAAGAAACAAATTTGGTAAGTTCTAAATCTATTTAATGATTCGTAATCGATGATGTAATTGTAGACGTAAGGTTTCCGCCTTTGCCGTCTCGCAACTAATGATTATTCTAGTGGCTATTGTCTACACACAAAATGCGTGTCAAGGTCTATCTGATGCAGTCTCTTTAAAGATTTTCTCTGACTTGGCATTAGGTTTCTTTAAAGATGTTTTATTGCTTAGTTTATAGCAAAATATAGATCATAAACACAGATTTTACTTAAGATCGTTTCTTATTTTGTTAGATTCAAAACCGGTGTAACCAGGTTATTATTTAGGATAAAATATCAGCAAGTAGGTTTCATTAAACTTACCGTCAAAGACTCGTTAGGAGGAAGTTTTATGAACATTTTGTTTACATGTTTCTGGAAGTCAAGAATGTTCTCTAAACATTAACTGTCGGAGCTCTCAGTCTTGTACTCTTGAAAAATCAATTTAGGCCTAACAAACATGTACAAACATTTATCTATATATATAAAAGGCAAAGCCCTCACCGACTGACTGACTGACTCACTCACTCATCACTAATTCTCCCACTTCCCATTTACCTAGGAGGCTGAAATTTGGTACACTGATTCTTTAGGCATTAAATAGGAAAACTAAGTTGTTTTTATTCTGATCGGACTCTCGGGCTCCGCCCCACTGGCTCTGGAGTTTCCCATGTTAACCTTATGAGTACTTATATTTAAATGGAATTAATGAATCTTAACAGCTGTTTCAATTAAACAAGTTGGTTCTGTTCTATGATGTTCAATAGCATTAAAGTTACAAGGATTACCAACAGGGTGCAGCACTATTATTTTTTTTTAATTTATGACAACGGCTTATTTGCAACCAAAAGGTGAGTGAGCGTAGCGAACGAACTTCAACCTGTAGGCGAGTTAGCGTAGCAAACGAGCTAACTTGAAGGCAAGTGAGCGCAGCGAACGAGCTCCAACCTAAAGGTGAGTGAGCGTAGCGAACGAACTTCAACCAGGACGTGATTGAACCTTGCGAACGAGCTCACTTATGAAGTAAAACGGGGCAAAGCCCGCGGGTACAGCTATTTTTGTTATAAAACCATAATCGCAATCAGATGTTATAGCACACTTCATTACAGTAAGAATAGAAAATAAAACAATATTTAGACAAATCCCATGTCTTAAGAGTTGACAAATTTTAAACGCTTGCTGATACAACTTTACGTTAAACTTAGCAGATAAGATAATGCCCCTACAAACCAATGGAGTATCTATTGAATACGTAACCAGGTAATAAAAAAACTTTTTTCTCGTCAAATATTTTTTATATTGTGTAATGGCTATCAATAACCGATGGTATCTAACTAAGTGTTGGTGTAAACGTTAAAAAATCTGAACCATTTCCTTGCATAAAATACATAAAATGTCATTGGTATTGAGCGCTAGAAAAACCTGTCTGTAAGTGATATTACAAGTTGGTAACTCCTTACCTTGTATGCTGAAAATCTGAACTTTAAATATGCATAGTATAATAGTATATGGAATTACTTTATTCGTATATAGTAGTTTAAGAACGTATAGCTTGCTAGAGTACTTTTTCCACCTAAAAGACATTTTAGCAACCAATCCATCTTCCAAACATACCTTCCAGCCTAAACTGATATAAAAAGGAGAAATGCTCTATAGGCCACTACATAAATCGATTCCCTGTAGTTTGGTGTTTTACTTTCTAAAGGAATGTTACTTACTGCTTGTTCCTATAGGTTCAGCGAAGACAAAATATCCGTGAGGATATATGAACATGACCGAGACACAAACAATGAGACTGTGCACCTGGACAGGAAGGTTGAAAGGATTGTAGGTCACAGTGGCTACAGCGAGTACTCCTTTAACAACGACATCGCACTGATCGCACTGGACGAAGAGGTTCCTATAGAGGGTCCTCTGAGACCGGTGTGTCTTCCACCTCCTAGTGAGTTGTTGTAATGCAAGTATTATTTATAGTGGTAATTTGTCCTTTGTTGGTGAGAATAGTATTTCAGAGTGGCTGCACCATGAACTCCTTTAACAACGTTCTCGCTCCTCTGAGACCACTGTGTCCTCCACCTTCTAGTGAGTTGGAGTGATAAAAGTATGTCACCTTATAGCGAGTTTCAGTAATACGAGTATTAGTTATAAGTAGCTAACAGTGGCTACAAGTAGGGGTTACCCATTTAACAACGACATCGCACTGATCGCCGTAGACCAGGAGGTACATTTAGAGGATCCTCTCAGAACAAAGTCTCTTACCTTATAGTGATTTTCAGTAATACGAGTATTAGTTATAACAGTAATTTATTCTATGCTGGTGAGCATAGTAGCTAACAGTTGCTACAAGTAGGGGTTACCCATTTAACAACGACATCGCACTGATCGCCGTAGACTAGGAGGTACATTTAGAGGGTCCTCTCAGAACAAAGTCTCTTACCTTATAGTGAGTTTCAGTAATACGAGTATTAGTAATAATAGTAATTTATTCTATGGTGATGAGCATAGTAGCTAACAGTGGCTACAAGTAGGGGTTACCCATTTACCATTTACCATTTACCATCGATGTCTTCTCCGCCGTCCTTGTAGACAGGGGAATCGTCAATTTCTTGTAATAGTGTATGTGTGTGAGAGTGTAATTGAGCATTGCTTTCCTATTTATTGTTTAGGTTATATTTGCGTTCGTTGATGAATTCAGTTAATTTATAATATGGACGTTCAATAAGGTATTGTTTGAGTTGTTTTTTAAAGGCTTTATTTTCATTTATTTCTTTGAGTTTCTTTGGCAAGAGATTAAACATTTTGATCCCCATGTTGTTTGGAGTTTTGCTGGTTTTGTTTAGCCTATGGTACCCTAAGTCTAGATTTGTTTTGTTTCTGATATTGTAGTTGTGACATTGGGTTCTGAGTTGGGGAGGATTTAATTTGATTGAGGTAATAGTTTCAAAAAGGTAAAGGGAGATTACAGTTAGGATTTGGTTTTTGATAAAAAGAGGTTTGCAGTGGGCTTGTGGTTCATCTTGATCGATTTGTTCTATTATCCGAATCGCTTTCTTCTGTGAGGTTATTATTTTCTCGATGTGGATTTCATTTGCAGAGCCCCAGGCTATTATGCCATATCTGATGTGTGATGAAAAAATTGCATGATAAGCAGTTATAGTGATTTCTTTGTTTGTTAGTCTTCTAATTCTTCTTAATGCATATACAACTTGTGACAGCTTTCCACCTAGTTTTAGAAGGTGATCATGCCATGTTAGGTTTTTGTCCAATATTATTCCAAGAAATTTAGTGTTAGTTTGTGAGTGTTCATCTGCAGTTGAATTTTCATTGTTATGGTTTGTAGGTTTGAAGTTTATTACTATTGTTTTCTGTTTATTTATTGTTAAGTTTATTTCGTTGCAAGTAGCTGTAGAGATTTGTAGGGTTTCGTTTGTTTTGGATTTTTGAAGTTCTACGTTTTTTCCATCTGTTGGTGTGATGATTGTTGTGTCGTCTGCAAACATTATACAGGCACTGTCTTCTGTAAAATTGGTGGGAAAAGAATTTATGTATGTTAAGAAAAGTAGGGGGCCCAGTATGGAGCCCTGTGGAATTCCTTGATTGGTTGTCTGAAGTTTAGACCTGTATTTAATTTCATAGTAGTTCTTTGTGTATTCTATTTCGACTTGTTGCTTCCTGTTAGTTAAATAGTCTTGTATCCAATCTAATGCTTTATGAGTGATATTAAGTTGTTGAAGTTTTTTTTATAAGAATTTTTCTGTCCAAGCTGTCGAATGCTTTTTCTATGTCCAAGAAGATACCGGTTGCTTGAGATTTATTTTCCCATATATCAGTTATTTTGTCACAAAGGGTTGCTAATGCAGTGTTGGTGGATTTACCATTCCGAAATCCATGCTGTGATTGAGAAATTTTATTATTATTTTCTAGGAAGTTCATCAATTGGGTATGTATGCTTTTTTCTATGTAAAAGAAGAATACCTAAAAGTGGTTCAACTATCTGATTTTTGCAATGCTTTACCATTTTGTTTGTTATCTCATCTATCCCTGAGGAATTTTTAGGGGGTAGCTTAGATATCATTTGTTCAAGCTCTTTCTTGGTTATGGTTTTGAATTCTGATAGAGAGTCTGGTTTGGGTAGTGTCATGTCCGGTAGGTTGTCAAAATCAGTATTTAGGGTCTCTGTAGGTTTTTTCTTGCCAAGAGTGATGAAGTGAGTGTTGAATAATTTACATATCTTGGTAGGGTCGCTGATAAGTTGGTCTTCATCTATTAATTTTATCCCTTCGTTTTGTTTTTTATTGGGATTCCTTTCTCTATTTATGGTTGTCCAAAGTTCTTTATTTTTATTGGGGGCATTCTTTATTTTCTCAATTATTGAGTTACTTTTTTGAAATTTAATTTCCAAGTCATAGTATCTTTTCAGCCTTTTGTGTAGTTCCTTGTCTTCATCTTTATTCGTCAATAAATATTTTTGTTCTGCCTGACGTAAAGTAGATCTCAATTTTACAAGCTTGTCATTCCAAAAAATTTTTTTATTGTTTTTGTTATTATAGGCTCTGTAGGTTTTGGGCATGATTTCTTCTATTTTTCCTTGGATAGTTTTCACTAGGTAGTTATATTTTTTATTCACATCCAGAGTTGTATATATGTATGACCAGTCTTGATTTCCAAGTGATACTTTTAGCTCATCCAATTTTGAAGTTGTTATTTTTCTGGTTAGTCTTTTGATGGGGGGGTTAGTTTTCATCTTAACTGCTTCCACTATACACTTTAAAGCCTGATGGTCAGAAATTGAGTTCCAGATAGATGATACTTTAAGTTTTGATAGGTTAACATTTGTACAGCACCAATCAATACATGTCTCAGATGTGGACGTTATTCTGGTAGGTTCAACCTCAATAGGTTTCAGGTTATGTTCCGTTAGTATATTTAAGAATTCTATTGTGTCAGGGTTTGTTTTTTTGAGGTAGTCAATGTTTATATCTCCCATAAATATAACTTTTTTGTTCTTATGCGTGAAGTTTGATAAAAAATCGGAAATTCTATTAAAAAATGTATTTAAATTGCCACTAGGTGATCTGTATCCTCCTATAATAATAGTTTGTTCTTTTACTAATTCGATAGCTGCAATTTCAATTGTTAATTCTTCGGTGAAATCCTGAATATTTATTTCATGAATTTGCTTGTGTTTCATCGTTTCTTTGATATAAATTGCTACTCCACCCCATTTATGAGTCTGTCTGGAGAAATCAGAGGATAAAATATAATTAGGTATATTTGTTGTTTTTAGTTCTTCATTTGTTAGGCCATGTTCTGATATTATTAGTATATCTGGATTTATTTCATGAATTTCAAATAATAATTTTTCAATTTTTTTGTGAAGTCCTCTTTGGATATTTAGGTGATAAATTTTAAGGCTGGGGTTTTTATTTTCAGGATTTTTTATAGGTTGATTGCTGTTTTTCGAATACGGAAGATGGGCTTTATCACTTGTGGCAATTAGGCTTGGGGGTTTTTTGATTTTAGACTATTGTTAAGGATTTTGGTAGTTTGGTCTCTGTTTTTAGCCAAGTCTGCAGTTGCCAGTGTATCCTCAGTCTCTGTCAGATCCAGAGTCACAAGGGACTCCTCAGTCGCTAGGCTTGGTTTGTCCTTGATCACTTGTTGGTCCGCTGGTTGATTTTCAGTTGGAGGTTCATCTTCAGTCGTTACGTGGCTTTCAGTTGTTTTGTGATTTTTGGTACTGGCAGGTGTTGTAGGCCTACTCATTCTTGGACAAGTTTTTGTAGTTGCTCGGGTTTGATTCGTAGTTTGGTCATCCCGGAGTGTACGCTCCAAAGATTCACTCAAGGCTTTGTCTCCAATTGTATTTGGATGGATTCCATCTCGTGAGTAGAGGGTTTCCCCGAATGAGCTAGTTATATCTACAAAATTTACATGTAGTTGTTCGCACATGAATCTAAGGGCATCATTTATTTGGTCGATGTAGCAGTCTCGAACATCCTTCCTGTACAATATACTGTGCACATGCCATTTAGTTTTAGTATGGATTTTTTGAAGGGATTCGATTGTGTACCAGAGGGGTCTCATTACATGATTTGGCGTTGGGGCTAGCTGGACATTGTTTGATCCCATATTAATTATAACTTTATTAGGGAGTTTATTTTGGTGGCACAGGAATCTGCTTAGATCAGCAATTTTTCCTCCCGGCATAATTCTATAATGAATTACATGAGTGTCGGAGCATTTGATGGCAGTGACGGCTCTTTTAAGAATGGAGTCACTGATTATTAGAGCATCAGGCTCGGTTTTAACTTCTCTTGTGTTAGGTGTGTGTTTAGGACTCGGCCTATTATCTTGAGCGAGTTTTGAGTTTGTGCTCAATGAGGTAGGATGTTGAGTATGTGGTGGGGGCATTAATTCTTTTTTATATTTCTCGTCATTGGTTGTTGTATTTTGATTTTGGATTATTTTTGTTGTAGACTCTGAGGCAATCTCTTCTTTTGAAATAGGCCTAGGCTTTTTTGAATTGCTGTCATTAGGTCTATTTATTGTGGTTGTGGCTTGATCGTCCAGTAGGTGACCTTCAAGGTTTTCATTATTTTTCTTTATGATGCTGTATATGGTTGCTTCGAGTTTTTGGATGATTTCAATCTTCTTTGCTATAATTTCAGCCAGTTTCTCATTTTCTTTTGTTTTGTCCTTAAAGTTTTCCTTTAGTTCATTGAGGTCTTCCATTAGCAGGTCAATAATTTTTTCATATTCTTTGACTTTGTTCTTGTAGGTGTTGATCAGGTCCTGTTGATCGGTTGCGTCCTTGATTGGCCTAGATGTGTCCAGTGGTATTGGGTTGGATCGAGAGGCGAGTTCTCTTCGTTTTAGTTTTAGGCAGGATTTGCATGTCCATGTCATTAGGTATTCCTCGTCCATCATTGCTTTGTATTGTCTTGTCGTGATATGAGCACATCTTATATGGAACCAGTCTGAGCAGTCGCATTCTACTGCTTTGTCATCATCATATACTATGCAGTTACATATTTTACAGTAAGTCTTATTTTCTAAAAGATCCAGCGGTGCTTGGTCATTTTTGGATTGGGTCAAATTTTCATTTTGAGTAGACAGTTCTTCCGTCTTTGTCATTTTTTTTTTTTTTTTTTTTTTTTTTTTTTTTAGGGTAGGGTCATACAATGAAAGTAAGGTAAGGGGAGACTTTGGTTGGAATGGTTAAAATTGGAGAGTGGAGAGTCCCTGCCTAGCCTTGTTTTGATTTGGTTTGGCCTAGCCTTGTCTTTGTGAGTTTATTTAAGTCTAGCCTAGGCTAATTTTAAATGCATGAATTTTTGAGTGTTTTCCCCCTAGCTAAAAAAACTTTGTCTGGCCTAATAATTTAAACAAAACTTTTTATGGAAACAGATTTAAAACTAAGAGTGTAGGCTATTTCACTATTTTATTGAAAACAGAAGGTCCTACCTTGAGATGTCTTCTAATTTATGGCAATGCTCACAAAATGTTGTGGTGTGGGTAGGCTGCAATGTTGGCGTTGGGAGTTTGCTTCCTTCCAGTTAGTTGTCCTTGTAGTTGATTTAGCCCAATTTAATGCAAAGGTTTGGGCGCCGCCATCTTGGTTCTTGCAAGGGTGAACATTTTGCTAATTTCTCACCAAAATTTCGGTACTATTTCATATTTTGGATGTTTAAAACTGATCCTTATGTTGTTTGAAGGCACTTTATCCGATTAGTTTCATTTAATTTACCGAAATTTCAAAGTTAGCCTATGTTGAAAATTTGATGTGGGGTCACTATGGCTACTTTCGTCTTGCCGGTGGACTAAAGTTTTAAGTTGAGTTTATGAAATATTTAGCATTAAAATCACTGAAATTTATGGATGAACTTGGAGAATTGTCATTAAAATTTACTTTAATAACAAACACTACTTCTAAAAGATATTTTTAAGTGATACTAATTAACTTTAAAAACTGAGCTACGTAAGGGGACTAGACACTTTGATTTCACTCCACTCCTTCCCCCATTTAACAACGACATCGCACTGATCGCCGTAGACCAGGAGGTACATATAGAAGATCTTTTCAGACCAGTGTATCTTCTACTTCCTAGTAAGTAGTAATAAGTTTTAGATATAATAGTAACTTGTCCTCTGATGGTGATGACAGTAGCTCAATCACAGCAAGTACCCATTTAACAGCATCGCGCTGATCTCCCTAATCTACGAAGTACCTATATATTTTCATTAGTTTGTTGTTTGCCTTTGGTGGTTAGGGTTGTCACTTAAAAATTAATTTGGCTGCATAAAATATTTATAACATCTTTTTACTACTACAATACATCAGTATAGGCTAACCTCATACGCTTAAATTATTCTATGCTTGACAATAACATTATAACAGTACAAACGGTTGGTAATATGTACTATTTTTGCCTATTATCTTTGACTATCAATACAACAGTATCCAATAGTCAATGCTATTATGTTATCATTTAAGGTTTAAAGTTAAGGAAATATGCTGTTGATTTATAAACATGACATACAATTTTTAATTAGCAAACATGTTTACAAGTAGCGAACTCATTTAGCTTTGCATACATTATTAATTACCTAATCATTCCCCGTACAAAGCTAAGTATTTTCCACACTCTCCGTCCCAATTAAAAACTAAATCTTAAAATAAATTGCACTATTAAATCTTCAATTCTAATCCGAAAGAACCAATTTGCCCGAGGTGCTTTATAAACCTGCAAACGAGTCGGTTGTTTATTCATCACGTTGTTGTAATTCAAGAAGAAGAATCGTCTAAAGATTAAACTCGAACAAAAGTTGTTCAATCTCGGAACGGAAGAGATCGCTAACTGGTCTTGTTGGTCGAGGTGGACAAGTTTTATTACTTAGTCACTGGGGGTGACAGGAGCTGACAACTAATTAACACCGAGCTAATAGTTACTGTCTGTCTGGCAAACTTCATTTGTTAAGCGGGAATTGATACCTGATTGGCTATTAATAATTCATCCGACACATTTCGAACTGTGTTGATCACTGTTTTCTCCAGGGACAATATGAGATTACTCGTGTAGGACTTTTCAGTTGAAGCAGGAATAATTTAATGGTGACACACACTCTGTAAATGGCATCAGAGATAGTCTTAGGGAATAAGATAATTTTAAATTCAAGTTAGGATAAATGGTTCAGGCTAGAGCTGGTCTTAGTAGTTAACAAAAACTGCACAAGACCTCTCCATCAGTTGTTTACTTATCCTCCATTCAAAGATGGGTGTTCACATATAAACCCCCCCCCCAAAAAAAAAAAACGCGAAAATTAAACAAAAATGTGTGTGCATGGATGGATTGGTTAAAATAGACTCAGTTGTGTCTGCTTCTTAATTTGAACTATAATACAATAACACGTCTTTCATTGAAAAAAATTGAACGGTTCATAGTGACATTTTAATTGGTAGACGAATGAACCATTTTAAATTGTGCATAAAAACCTATATGTTATACAAGGGACGAGAAAGCACGTTTCAAGAATGAAATTTGCAGATAAATATTATAGTCTGTATGATGGAACCGGCTCCTGGCCCTATGTCTAGCTGAGAACTGATCTACGGTTTAGGATCTAGACAGAGATTGAGGAGACATGTTCCATCAAACAGACTATAGCAACGGCACCGGGACATGGACCGATCATTGCCACCTTAGTTCCATATTTGGTGCTACCTACTGAGACATCGACTCACCCAAATAACACCCACATTTCCATAGCTAAGAGTAGGCTACTTGAAACAAATTATCCTTGAATCAAGCTAATTAATTGTGCACTATTTAACTGTTTTCCAGAGAAGAGCTTCACGGGGGACACAGGCATTGTGACGGGTTGGGGGGTGAAGAAGGCCGGGGGTGCGACCTCGGCGACCCTACAGGAGGTTCAAGTCCCCATCATGAGCAACAAGGCGTGCAAGAACTCGTCCTACGGCGCCTCCAGGATCACGGACAACATGATGTGTGCCGGGTACCCGGAGGGCAAAAAGGACTCATGTCAGGTAAGTTGGAGGCTGAAGGAGACATTAAAACCATTATAGCCATTAATTGTCTTGAATGTCATAATTGGAGGAAAACTATGAACATTATAGTAAAAATAACAACTTTTAGCCAATTCGTCAAGAATATAATAATTTAAAAGAGGTTAAATTAAAATACTGTCGTTTGTTTGAAACCTAAAGCAATATCAGAATTATGTAAATTATAAATAATTAGTTTATGCATTTATCAATATAGATAGTAGTTCGCCAATCTTTAAAGTATTGAGACTATATATGTTGCAAGGTTAGCAGTTGCTGAAAAAATAATTAAATCAATCAATAAATGTATAATAAACTACAGTAGAAACATGAACGCAATAGTTATTTACATAGCAGAATGGTCTATGCATTAGAACAACGAATTGAAGCACAAAATTCCGTGACAGAAAAAATACAACAATTCAAGGTAAATATGTTAATATTTCGCTAAAGATCTATAATTTATTGTTATTTCACTTTGACCAATATGAGTTTTTATCATAAACAAGTCAAGGGGAAGATTTCTTTACGAAACGTAATTCTATATAAATAAATATACAATGACTGAAAACAGCATTCCAGACACTATAAAAGCCCCCAAACAACTCTTACATAACAGTTTTGGAAAAAGACCTATAATTTGTTAAGGCGAGCAGTGTGCAAAAATGCCCAAAAAATAAATTTTTAATAAATGATGAAAAAATATTGTGTATTTTGTGCTGTTCAAGAAAATATATAACACTTTATACTTTGGATATTTTTTTATATAAGAAGGAACCATTAATTCTGCATTAAGATACTGATGAACATATGTAGTTGTTACCATAGCAACCAAAATGTTTATTATCAAATGTTGTTTACTATTCTATTCTGATCTTCAATATAACACAGTTACTTCTATTTCAACACTCTGTCTTTTTATATTCTAATATTTCCACTCGAAAGTCATCTCAGATACATTAAGGAAACTACCCATTTTCCCGGTTTTTCCTGATTTACTAAGTCTAATCTTATAGTCTAATAGTCTAATCTTAAACCAAACTGCATATTTGCATTTAGGAAAAAAACTGAACAATTTGAGTACCCATAGTCTAATATTGTATATAAAAATAATTTTCCCGGATTTTTTAAAGAGGGCCCTACTGGATTCTACTGAGCCTGTCCTTCAAGGGTTCAAATGTGAATATCCGAAAGTTAGTTTTTATAAGTTTAGGTACCATTCTAAAGAAAACTACTTAACTCATCAAGCCCAAATTTGACACAATACTTCCTGTTACCATGGTGAATAGTTTCATGCATTTTTAGAATGTTACCATAAATTTTACTTTAAAAATAGATTGTTTGTAATTTTAAAAAACACCAAAAATTTATATTTTTTCTTTTATATTTTTAAAACTAGACCTAATTTCTTGTTTATATAGCATGAAATCATAGAAAACAATATAAGGAATAAATATAAAAAAAATTAAGTCAATATATCTAATGGTTTTAAAAATAAATGTACCTATCTAATCACATGTTTTCCCATAAGATTAACATGGGAGTAGTATTCGCGCAATGCGAAAACGTAAAGAATAGCTATTATTTACTAAACCAAATTTTTTTATAAAACACCAAATACAAATTCATATACTTTTATATGAAATACTTTATAACTAATAGGAAAAGAATCCAAAATTGTTTTTGTAACACTATAACGGTTATTGTAATGGTTGTAACAGTATTTGCAAAAGACATTCAGCTCGGTACTGAGTTCATAAACAAGGAATTGTTAGGAGAGGATAACAACGTTGTTTTACACACCTGCGACTCGTTTGCGACAAGTAATGGTAACAACATCAACAATTTGCTTTACATTTTCCTACAATGTATGCTTACCTGTTTTAAGGGCTCAACTTTTACAAGCTCTAGTCGATACAGTCAATCGCTCAGAAAATAGTTGGGCTGACTTTTTTACCCAAAGAATTTTAAATTTTTGTAAGAATAAAATATGTATTCCAAAAATGTTTTTTTTACAGTTAAAGTGTAACAATTTATAAAAAAAAAGTCAATATATAGGGTGTTCCTTCCTTTTCAGGTATGATTAGTGGACCAAAGACAAAATACATAAATAGTTAAAAAAAATCCAAAACTCTAAAATAAACAAGGTAGTACATCCAACATTTTGTATTTTTCTTGGACAGATTTTCTAGAATTTCATATTGTTAGAATTATGGTGAAATTGTCAAAATAGAATTTAACCACAATAGCTTAGTTTACCTATGTATTTTTTTGCTATTTCAGCTGAAATGGCTGTAATTTTAAAACTTATCATTAAAAACGTAACATTTTCCCCAAGATTTGCGTTAATAATCGTTTTCCCAAATTTCAATTCACTGTCGTTTTCGTTTCTGATTAAAATAGTTTTGCGAAATAAAATGGCGGCTGTACGGGTTAGTAACGAGTTTTGAACATTATTAACACGATATTTTACTTTGTAGTTGGGCCAGTTGGAAAAAGTCAGTTGAGAGTTCGGGGACAGCCTGAATATTTGTCAATAATTACACTATAAGTGTAAAGACATCAAAAATGTTCTTTCCGAACCACCATTTAAAGTCCTGAGTGCGGATTCCTAAGTCTGTATCAAAACGGAATTACGCCTATGGCAATTCTTGCTACAATAATGATTCTTTGTGTAGAGGGATATCTTTGGGTGAAATTTAGGTTTAAGTGTGCCAATGGTTGTTGTAAGATGGAAAACTTAGATATGTATAGTATAAATACAGTTTGTATAAAACAGTAAGACATTTACATATATATTTAAAATTTCACTTTCCTGTATATATTTCTTTAGGGAGACAGTGGTGGTCCTCTTCATGTCGTGCTCAACCAAGAAGTTCACCATGTCGTGGGTGAGTATAAACAACAGAAAGTAAATAAAGATACGTCTTATAACACTTAAAAGCATATATTTACGCTTATTCTGTTACTGGTAACAATGGTAAGTGGTGATCGATTTCGATTGGACACTCCAATCATCATCAGACCCAATAGGCGAATATAAGAATATATATTTTCATATTCGCCTATTGGGTCTGATGATGATTGGAGTGTCCAATCGAAATCGATCACCACTTACCATCTTTTGTATATTTACCGTCTTGTGAGTAACAGTATAAGCGTAAATATATGTTTTTAAATATCTTTTTTTAAAGACGTATCTTTATTTACTTTCCGTAAATTTAATAACACGTACAATGCTGATCAAGAAGTTATTTATAAACAACATTAAAAAAATATATTAATTCTGTACTTCAGACTACATGTAATAAATAATAAACATTGACAACTAGTAACGCTAAGATGTGCTGCTGTGCTAATAACCATGTAATCCTTATTTGTGAAAAGATTGGTCTTTACTTATCAATGGTGTGTACCTTATTTACGTCTTCGTTCAATTGAAATAATTGTTTATTTAGCTATAAACTCTTGGATGAATAATACACTAATTCAGTGCCGTATGCTCTGTTGAGGACACAAATAAATACAGAATCGAATTTAAAATATTCTTTTCTATAGGCCTACGCAATTTTATATCGCATGGAACCAATCAAAGTAAAGACAAATGGGTAAGCACTACCCTATACTAAACAATATAAAAACATCAAGAAAACGTTTAAGAAAAATGCTGAATTAATGGTTTCATTTAAGGCGAAAAACAAAATTTAAAACGTTCTTGGAAATCAAAAAATTAAATTAGAAAATACAACAAAATCTGGCATTTATCAAATTTAATTTGACAGTTGTGAGATGAAGTAGGACAAACAAAAAGAAATGTAAACACTAGATTCAAAGAACACACTTCTCATATAACACACAACAGACCTGAAAAATCAGCAATAGGAAAACATTGTTTAGAAACGGACCACACAATATCAATCAAAAATACTAAATTACAAAAAAATATAACAAAATCCAATGAGCTAAATGCATGGGAATCATAATTTATAAATAAAATGGACAATTTGCTAAATAATGATAATGGCCCAATTCAAAATAATACATTACTAAATTATAAATTTACACAAAGCTATAAGTTAATTCTACTTTATATTTCATTTTGATACATATATAAATATTGTTTTTGTAATTTTAGCCAAATGTACTTAACAGAATAGTTTTTATTTTTTTATTATTTTTTTACCACCAATATGTTACATTCTTTAAAATTTATGATTGTATTTTTAAACATAAACATAACCTTCAGTTTTGTGATGTGTCTGATGATGCCAGCATAGCTGGCGAAAAGCCTCATGAAATTAAAAATTGTATAAGTATTGGTGAAGTATTTATTTACCAGTTCTTCTTGAAGTAAAAATATTATATTTTCACTCAAATTCCTTAACATTGGCTTTTAAAATTACGTAGTTATTTTATGTACATTGCACTTTAGAGTGTAATGATATGAAAGGGCACAGTTTAAGGTTTATATGCAAGAAATACTACTTTTTCAGTTATTCAACGCATATAAATCAGTTTAAGTAACTGCAAAATAATGTTACTGCGCAGTTACATGGTCACAGTTACTACAAGCTATTTGTACAAAATAATATACTCTTATCTGTTTTTTTTCTGCAACCGATTTGAAGTAACATTTCACAGACAAGTATGCACCTAATTAAAATTGTATTTAGGGCTTTGCACTGTTTTAGAATGTACACTAAACGTATTTGTGCTAATGCTAAACCTGCTAAATGTTCCACGTTTTTTTATTATTTATGGACTCAAAATAAGGAATGAATTAAATAATAATTTTAATAATTTTAAAGAATGTAACATATGGGTAGTAAAAAAAATAATAAACAAATAAAAACTATTCTGTTAAGTACATTCGGCTAAAATTACAAAAACAAATTATATATGTATCAAAATGAAATATAAAGTAGAATTAACTTAGAGCTTTGTGTAAATTTAGAATAGGTAACAAATAAATAAGTAAGGAATGCAATCCTTGCAACGTTTAGGCGATTTCTTGAGTAGTTTTAATGGACATTTCTATGGGAGTTAACTTTTCCTACAGTTAACTGACAAAGCGGGCCCTAAAACGTGTTGTAAGGTGCTAAGACTGTATGCTTCTTAGTAACTGTAGGAAGAATAGAATGTCTAGGCCCAGCGCACACGGTGTGACTGTTTTAACAGCAACCGTTGCAAACCATTTGCGACTGCAACCAGTTTGCAACTGAAACAAAGCTTCTGTCCGCACACGGTGCAACTGTTTTACAATTACAGTTGCGTATATTCTGCAATCAGTGGAGTTAAAATTGTAAGTGCAGTGACGTTGTTTTTAAGGCCTTGCTTGTTTTTAAGTGTTTTTAAGTACAATAACAATGTCAGACTCAGATGAAGAAGACGTTATTAGTTATTATGAATACCGAAGACACCGTAGGGTACAGAGGGAGCATTGGGTTCACCCTTATTTGAGCAATAACGTCAGGCGTAGGCTGCTTGTAGCAGCTAGAGAGTTGTCACAGTCGGATAGGAAATTTAAATCTTGAATGGGTTGTTTACCTTAATTATTTACGACAACCGTAAACAAAATAGACTGAGAGCAAAAACATATTTTTCACCTCAAAATGATGTTTTTAGCTGTTTTACATACGTTAATTCGTGGCTGAACGTTTTGCTGGCCAAGCCAGCTGTCATTGTCATTAAAATCAACTGTCCGCTTACTTTCTTAAAACATGAATGTATATTAAATACACAATCAGTATCGCCGTTGCCTAGCAACTATTATTTATTATCTTTTGCTGATTCTTTAATGATTTTTTCACATAACCTTAAAGGTTGTAGTTCTGTTTAACTACATTCTTATTGTGGTGAATAGTGGTAATATGTTATAGTGTGGTGAAATATTTTTTTCTTCACCCCACGGCTAGAGAACAGTATAGCAAAGTAGTAGTAAATATGAAACAGTCCTCAAGAGTTGGCTGTAATTACCAGTAATGTAGTGTTTGTGAGGTTATGTTGTTAAACCTGAGTTATGGTAAAATTAAATTTATAATATTTAATTAATTATATTAATTGATTAGTTTACAAATAAATAAATTAATTTATTTATAACATTGCCTGGCAAACCCAATTCAACAGACACATCTTGCCATGCTTTATCAGTCAAATCTTTCCTTGAATATCCTGGCAGTTTGTAGTTGTACAGAACTTCATGTTTCTCCACTACTCCAACGAGCTTCCAAGTTGAATTCTTGATCATTCATTTTGAGATAAACACTATACGGCCGTCAAAATATCAACAAATTTCCACCAAACACCACAAAAACACCCCGTGGTTTCGTGCAACTGGTTGCTGCAACGTCGGGCCCACCGTTGCATGTGACTGGTTTCAAACTTTTTTGAAAATCGCAAACGACCAGTTGCGTCGTGTGCGGCTCCCCACTGCAATACATTGCCGATGTCGCAAAACAGTTGCAAGCGCAACTGGTTTGCAACGACAGTTGTAAAACAGTCACACCGTGTGCGCTCGGCCTAACACGGTTGGAAAGTGCCTTTACGGCACTCGAGAAACTTTCCAAAGTAAACATTTTCTCATGTGCACTACTTCGCACACTAGCTACACAAATAACTATGGTATCAACAACAAATGATATAAAAATCTACTTTACGTAAAACCATTTACTATTGAATAATAATCAAAGGTAAAACACAGTTTGAGAATGTACAATAAATGTGCATGGTTCATCGTTTTTCAAATGTTCGTAAAAAAAATACCAAGTTGAATCAACTAAATACAATTATTAATGTAGCCAACTTCATGTGATGTTTTGGTTAATCTCTAATGGATATTTCTGTAAAAAAATCTATCCACAGTAAGTAGTATAAATTTAAATAAATAATAGTATAAATTTATATTTGTTGCCTCGTTGGGTGAAGACTGAGCGTAATTAAATACTTCAAAATAACGAATGCAGTCAATTTGTTTCCGATCTTGGTTACTTCTTCTACTATGCTTCTTAGCAAATTTATTCATTCACAGAATAATGTATACTATTATGTTCTCACAGGGGTAGTTTCATGGGGTGAAGGATGTGCTCAGGCAGATCACCCCGGAGTCTACACAAGGGTGAACCGCTACCTTACATGGATAGAGAAGAACACCAGGGACTCGTGCTACTGTCAGCCCTTCGAACACTTGCAGCCCGCCCCCGAGTCACCGCCTCCCGCCACCCCCACCCCCACAGCTGCACCCTCGCCTGCCCCCGTCACTGAGGAGGTGTCCGAGAACAAGAACTGACCTGCTACATAATACGCTGTGATAAAAAGCCTTACTTTATAAACATGTCTCTTGACGTGATGAAATATTGATTATTTCATTATTGAATTTCGGGGAAGCCATATTTGTCAATTAAAGTGTTTGATAAATGTGTCATTGATTAATTTATGTATTTTAGGGATTTTATATTCCTAATTTAATGCGTGTGGTAAATCATCATCACTAGTGTTTATTGTTGCGTTTGAAAATTGTTTTTGGGCATTCATTGTTTTTGAGAAATATTAATTGTGTTAGTTTTTGCTTAAAGTGTTGGAGTTACAATTATTCTTGCTTAACATTATTTAAAACAACTTTTTTCATCCAATGGTTTAAAAAAATATATTTTGTTAGTTCTCAATTTTCCTGTTAAAAAATATTGTTTATTTCTCAATTGACGAGTTTGAAAAGTATTTATAGTACGAAATGATTTCCAAAAACCATTTTACTGTTGTACGGGTAATAATAAAACATGTCTTTCATCACGACGTGATTTTATTTAACCTTGTGTTGTTAGCTTCGTATTTATAAACAATATTTACGACTCCTTTCAATTTCAACCAGTCACACCACCATCGATCGTCATCAGACCCGGACTTGATCAGACAACAGCATTGACTTTGGATGCTGCAAGTATATTCTCATTCCATTGTGATATCAGAAGGTGGTTTTGTGTGTCATGTCCGGAACGCTTTCGTTCCTTGTTGACCAAATGTCTTCTGTATTCCAGCGTCAATCGTGCAGTGTGAGCATTACACTCTGGTTTTAAAACAGAGACGACAACAAAGTGTTTGAAAAAATGGCTCCATTTAGCCATGTTTTCCTCAGAAAACAGACGGAGAGACAAAAGTGGCAATGCTGCAATTTTTAGTTTTACACGTTTTTTAGTTTTTTTTTTAGGTTAGCCATCATGGCAATGGACCGGTCAGTGCGACGTTGCCATGGTTTTTTGCACGGCCTTTTATTATAGGTGGTTATGATTTTGTTGTATACAGGGTGTTTGGTAGTCAGTTTCAAATATTTTAGGCTAGGATTATACTAGGACGCTGGCGTCCGGGATGCTGGCGTCCGAGAGGCTAGCGTCCCAAGTCGAGCCTAATGCCTGCAGTACACTGTCGCCGAATGTAGGCGAACCAAGACGAACGCGATAGTGTACAAGGTGTAACGTGTACATTTGGGGTGGTTCGCATCGCCAACATTCGTGTTCGGGTGCGCTCGCTTTTTTGGCGGTCTCCCGTCGCGAATCAAAGGAGACGATCTAGGACGAATGCCGAACGCAGACGGACACGAACATAGCCAGTACACACTCGCTGTCATTCGTATGGTCATTCGTAGTCAAGGACGCTCTCTTTATACAGTATTTACTGCAGTGGTTGTGTAGTTAAGAGTTACTTTTAGTTTTTCTTATTTAATTATTTTCTACTAGATCTTATATAGATAAATTAATCGTACAAAGTATGGAGTATTCTAATAGGAAACGCTGTTATTTTTGGAACTATACCTTAGTGAGCCTGTTTTGTGACCGTGGGATAATTAAATTGAATATATACATGTATACATTATCGTTAAAGAATACAAGCATTTTAATGAAAAAACAAGCATTAATTTTAAATTATTAAATCACAGAGAAGTAAGAAACTTAGGATACATTCAAGTAGTGGTGTCTAACACCAAACGAAAATTACAGAATTTCCTCTAGAATTTTCTAGAATTGAATATCCTTCGACGTTAGCGTCCCTGTTGCACACAATTGTGTGCGAATGTTTTACCGCGAATACGCAATATTGGGTTCAGCACAGTTCGGCCGCAGTTAGCCGATAGTGTACTTGGTTAGTTCGGGATGGTTCGGGCTCCACATTCGTCAACATTCGTGGTCGCAATCTGACCCGAACATTCGGCGAAACATTCGGGCGAATGTTTGGCGATAGTGTACTGGTAGCATAAAATGACGTGATTTGTGTTGGGATGCTAGCCTCTCGGACTGCCATTTTATTTCAATGTTTTGTCACTTTTTGTTTTATTTTACAGATTTTTATCATTTTATTATATACAGATATTTTATTATACAGATCTATTTAAATAACATTAGGTTTAACGAGTACCCACATTTGCTGCTTTAAGGAGGCTAATATTGTGTGTTTTTAGTAAAATATTAATAGCTTAGTATGAAACAAATTGGCCAAGTTTGACCAAAATATACACAAACAAGCAAATTCCAACAGTTAAAAATATTTTCTATAAGAATAACATGGGAATTTTTAATTTACACTTATTTGAATTTTATCCGTAACTAATAACCGTACAAAAACACTTTAATATACTTAATTATATGCTTTTAAGCTAATTAAAATTGCCTAAAGAGAAATATGACAAAACCCCTTTTTTACCCCATAAAACCCCGTTCCCAAGGAGGCACAAAATCGAGCGTCCGGTGGCTTTTTTAGCATCCGACGCTGGCATCCCTAGTATAATCGCCCCCAATTGATTTAATGCCCCGCTAGCGTCCCGGACGCCGGCGTCCCGGACGCCGGCCTCCCGGACGCCAGCGTCCTAGTATAATCCTAGCCTTAAGGCATTATTATGCACGCCAATTGCGATAAAAATAGGCAATTTGGATAGTTATATCTCACTCCTGCTTCCCGGTAACAGTCATTTATCGATTTTCCAAATTTCTTGACATTGCCTAATAAAATCTCATATTCCTCAACTTTTAGCTTACATAATGATATTTTCAATGACATTTTTAGAATCTTCATAACATTTTCTAGCGGAAAACGTATAGTATGGTACAGCTAAACCCATTTAAAAGTTTGTAAACTCGACTTAAATAAAAAAATTTGAAAAATCAATAAAAAGGGCGCTACAACTCTCTTAAGACATATTTTATCAACTCATGTTCAAAACTGTAAAAAAGTATAAAAATCATCTCCACATTTCAAGCTTTGAAATGATATGTAACATGTGTCACGTTATGTCAGCCTAAGGCGAAAAATATTGCGGTTAACATAAGAGTACGCTCTACCTCAGCTCGGGCTTCAGTAGCTAAGTTGCACCATGGAACAACGCTGCGAGAAGTGCTTGCAGACGTTCACGGCAACTGCCTTTGTAAACTACCCATACATGCTAGTAAATAACAATGAGTGGAGTTTTACAGAACAAATAACAATCTATGCAAATGTCATCAAAATCGGGCAAAAGTGAGTAATTTGTTTCTGATTTTGATGAAATTTGGTTTGAATGTGTAAGGCAAGATAAACTGGAATTAGTTCGTGAACCAGCATGATCGGACCATGGGAACAGGGTTTTACGGGAGGTTTTATGGGGTGAAAATTGTAAAATTCCCAATTTCTCTCTAGACCATTTTAAAGAGCTTAAAAAACAAATAATGTAGTATCTTGAAGGGTTTTGTACGGTTATTGGCTACGGAGAAAATTAAAAAAAAATCAAATTTAAAACTCCCATGTTATTCTTAAACTGTTGTAGTTTGCATGTTCATGGATATATTTTGATCAATATTGGCAAACTTGTTTGTTTCATACTAAGCTATCAACATTTCATAAAAAACACACTTTATTAGCCTTTATTAGACTCGTTAAACCTATAATGTTATTTAAATAGATTTCATTTAAAATCAATTCAGGCAAATGGTAATTCACTTAGTCTGCAGGTTTGCTGCGGCGGGGTATTTATAAAGATATATTACATCAATTGCATTTCATTTTAAGTCCTCTGATATGTATATATCCGCAAGGGTATTGCAAAACTAAACATGTTCGTTTTAACGTGTCAATACCGTAAACTCTGGTGTTAACATTAGATAGACTGCAAATATAAATACACAGACTCTACTGAAAATAGCTACGAGGGATATTTTACTAAATGAGTGGCCAGTCAAAAAAACTTGAAATTAATAAGCTCTAAAAAATATGTTATTAAAATAAACACAGATAACATTTTTATAAAAGTCTACATTTTGTTTATTTTTTGAAATGTCATATATTACTCAGTTGATTTTTATCTCTTGGAATCAATTTTAAACGTATTTTGTAACTAATACAAACATATTTTAAAAATTGAGGTCAATCATACTTGTGTATACAATAAAACTGACACTAGCATTAAACTATTATATTAAGTAATGATAATTTTCTCAGGAAAATTTATGATCTTAGCCGTAATAAATTGTATTTACCGATCACAATTCTTAAGTGTGCCAGGGTAATTTTTGCAGACTCCACTTTTACAACCTGCAGATATTAAGGTAAGCTAACAAAATCAGCTAACCAGACAATTTAAATTTAAATTTTATAATTTTTAAATCTACTATAGGCCTACCCATAGAATATTATTGTAATTTGTAAGAATGGTTGCAAACAATTTATAACTGAGGATTAAAGAAGAGATAAAACATTGTAAAAACAGTAATTGCCTTAATTAAATCTATCGATACAAAGGGTTCTTATACTTTGTAGTAAATTTTCAAATACACTTAAAGACCAGTATCCTCACAGCAAAGGCGACGGCTGTGTAATCTTGGCCTGCAATCAGGGAATAATTTAATATTCAATGAGACCTTAATTAGAACTCTTTGTTGAGTCGCACTTGAATTCTAAAGTAAATACGAACACTTAACCGTTGAACGGAGATAGAGGTTAAAGGCGTGAATGCGAAAAATCGTTTCTATTGATGTTTCAATGTTGAGTTTTTATTTTTTTTACAATGCCTAAATATTTTCCTATTACCAATCCTTAAAGGTACAAGCAGTTTGAACTGGTATTGTCATTAATTTTTCCAGATGAATTCACGATAGAGATGGTCAACGAGAGGGGGTGATGCTTACACATACAGGCAAAACAACTTCTTGATCAGCATCGTACGTGTTCCTACCAAAAAATACGTTTAATAACACTCGTAACATATATATTTACACTTAGGGTTGACTCACAACGGTGTTGTATTTATGGCTGAAAATATATTTTTTTGGTAAGTGGTACAAGTAATGACGTTAGTGGTATTAACAAGGTTGTGACAAGAAGTAATTGTCCTAAAATGTCACGTGTCGGTCGTTCCTCTGGAAGAGATTTTTATCAAATTCCCCATAAAGTGGTACGGTAGAGCGCGGAACTTCAATCCCTAAGGTTTCGAGTTCAAATCTCGCCAAATCACCGATGTATTTTATCTAAGTGATAATAACACAACCCCTAGGTCTAATTGTCTGGTTATGTGACCAAAAATCCCGGGTCAGAACCTAGTATCATCCTGGGACAAAAAAACTAAATATGATCTAACCTATTCTTTTCACTGAAAACACCCAAACGTTACCACCACAAACGTTGCAATGGCAGTCGTGT